CCCACTATGGTGACTAATTAGACCTTTTGAATACCACTTCATGCCACGCTTTGATTGCTCAACTTATCCAAACCATTTGAACTTTGACAGCCTTCCTTCACATTGAACTCAATGATTGTACATGAACGATTCAAAGCGTCGATTGTTATATATATATATGCATGCTCACGCCTGCCGCCTTTGGTTTGCTTCGCTTCGACCACCAACCCTCCCTACGCCATCCCTTCTGTAGTGATGCTTGTCGTGGCTTGGCCTATTTGGAAGAGCGTGGAATTGTACATCGTGATATTGCTGCACGCAACATTCTTTTGGCCGGTCAAGCTCCCCCTCGGCTGGTGGCCAAAGTGGCGGATTTCGGGATGGCACGAGATCTGAACAATACCGGCCTGCTGCCTGTTCGACCCTGTCCGCCCGCGAGCGCACCGCCATCTGTTCCCTGTCGAGAGCTGAATGAACGCCTGTCGCCCAAACCTCCACAGACCACTGGTACCAACAATACTCCTGGTACCAATTCAGAGGTAGATGTCCCGTCCCGAGTACACACGCTCACTTTGCACGACAATGCGGCTATCCCGGTAAAATGGACAGCACCGGAGGCTGTGCGAAAACGAGTGCGTTTCCCGCCTTTCTGTCACTCACGCTAACACCAAAAATGGGGTTTTCGTCTGTTGTCGGGTTAGACAGAGCAATAAAGGGTGCATTGCTCTGAAACCTCCGGAGTTTGACTCTTGTGGACAGTAACTTGTCGGTTTCATTTTCGGGTGGTTGGACTTGATCATTCTGCTGTTCTCTTTGTTCCTGACAGTGACCAGTTTACATGTGTGATATCACAACTTCATCCTTTTTACTAAACACTGGTGTATGCTAAATAATAGAAAGGGTGAAAGTTCCTGTTAGAAGAGTCTATTGTTCCCTCACGACCATCGATAAGCTGAAGCGTGGGAATTAGAGTGCAGAGTGAGAATAGTCGTGGCATCGAGCTGGTCCACAGGGAAGCCATCTACCATCACAGTTGGGTGGCGATGGTAGGGTTCAAACTTCGAACGTTATAACCCAAAGCATGTCAGTGACACGAACTTAAAACGCTTGACCACCACACGAATTTCTCCTACCGAAAATGTAACGCAACTTTCCAACTCTGACTACCTCCCCTCCCAGTTTTTGGGCATATTTTTGTAATGTTAATCGGGAGACACTTCATTGCTTGCTTCGGTTTCCTGTGCGCTCTCTGGGATTAGGAGAGCATCATTTCTAATGGAGATGCATGTGGAAGCATTTTTCAGTCAATCGGCAAAACCGGGGAAGATCAGTCGGAGAAGGGGGAGGGGCGGGCTTTTGTGTTCCAGGCAGGAGGAGGAATAGCGGGACGTTTAGTTCATAATTTTTTTTGATTGTTCGTGCAACGCCATTACCTCCCTGACCACCATTCACACTGCAGCTAAGGCTATTCCACAATTTCGTTTGATCCTTCTGTCGGATCCCTCACATTTCTGATCCCCACTACTTCCTTTCCAACGGTAAGCGCTTGGTCGGAGTGGGCAAGGATACGTTCAATCTCGATAGACTTCAAGGCCATGGGACGTTTAGCTGTACTGTCAGTAAAATTGTGGATTATATCTGTGCTTTTTTTAATTTCGTCGCACCCATCTATAGAAAGAACTAGAGTTTGACGTATTTTTGTCAGACATTTATAACCACTTGCTCACATCTATAGTATCTATTTCGCATTGAAACGTTTTGCAAAGTCATAAACTAGTTAGACTGTGCTAATTGAACCTGGTAATATTGATTCCTTGCCCCGATAATAGCCCTACTCAGAAATCGTCGTTTATCCTCAGTCAGCACTTTCTGATCGATCACTTCAAAGCATTCAAAAGGCACTTTTATGCCAAAATTATGTCGTCCATTGTCATCAGTTGGCGAGTTATGACTAAACAGTACGTATCGAACGCTGTTCGCAGTCATTCGTAATAGATGTTACTTTACCTGAGCTGACTTATCCCCCTTTACCGTTCCGCGTTCCTATTTTCCTCGTTCTACTGGCTACATGCGTAAATCATGGTCACCATATCC